TTTGCATTGTGGCACCCGCATATTTAAATAACGTCGCGCTGCTCGTCCTCGGACGGGACGAGGTAACCAAAGGCCGCTCTCGACCAAACGACCCGCGGAGGCTGCGGCGGAGGGACCGCGGAAATAGCGAACGGCGAGGCGGCGCTCCCGGAGGAGAGTAACTTACAGGATTTCAAGATGCAAGGGGCGACGTCTAGCGGCAGGGACATGGGATATCTCTATGAACGTTTGAATGTCGTCGGACACTGCCTCTTCTGACTTGGCGCTGTTTCCCTCCCAGTGTCAATAATCAGGGTCGTATTAATACCTCTTTTAATGATAGGGCTGTGGAACTCGTTTTAAAGTGTAGAATGGTATAGAAGGAAATCTTGCAGATCAAAGTTCTTACAGAAAACATGATAGTAGAGATCGGGTACAATCTGTCATATCAGAGAGGTATAGAAAAAATTCAAGAAATACATTGGTGGAAAAGTGAACAGTAAAGCTTTTTCTTCTTTCATAAAATTGGGTATATTCGACTAAAAATTATTATTATATTTCTATGGATATTGCAGAAACATTGTTGATGACTATCACGGATAAATAAATCTCAATTTCATAAACTTAACAATTCAACGGCCATCGAATCGTAACGTTCGCACTTCGAAATAAAGTATCAGTTTCCATTCATTGAGCAACACATTTGTTTTGTTTTACGATCGCAGTTGCATTACTCTAAATAACGAAAACGAGACTGGTTTCATACCGAGACCTTTCTTTATCTTCTATAGCAACATTCGATTTCAAATTCTCAGCTGTGCGCAGACCGTTCAGCATGCACATCATGTCAAATAATAAGAAGGCCGAGCTTGTATCACCAACCACGAAGCTCAACCCTTCTCAAACAATTTCGTCCTTTCTGAAACCGGGAAGCCATTCCCCACTGAAGACCTTCCCGGCGGTCGGACGCCATCAAACGCAATGCGAGCGTCCCGCGCCCCGCGACAAGCACCACTCTCCGTCCCACCCCACCCACCGCGGATTGCACCCAACCCCCCCCTGACCGCCAGCGCGTCTCTTTGTTTGTGCGCGGCGGCCCGGCCCGTGATGTGTGGAGGGCTGGCGGACAGGCGACAGCGCTCCGACACGCCGCGCGCCCGACGGGCTGCGAGGTCTGCCGGGCCAGCCGAAATTTTGAGCCGGTTGTGCACGCCGCCGCCGCCCAGATCGTCCCCGGGTGCCATCGAGAGTCGCGGCGTGGTCGGAGAGGAAAACGTCCGTGGAACGTGGTTGCAGCGAACGGAAGTGTTCGAGGGGTGGGGGAACTCGCCACCGCGTAATGTTACTATGCGAGCCCCGCGAAGAGATGCAGTCGGACGTGGTGTGACTAGAAGGGGAGGGAAGGAGACGAGATGGACGTCGCAAAAGATGAATTCGAGTAATAAAAGGAGTTCAAGAGGTTGGGTGGAGGTAAGCGGCAGTCGGCGATGGGGGCGGGAAAGTGACGGGCGTGGTAGTTAGGGCGCGGAAGTAGGAAACTGTCATAGTGGCAAATTGCAAAGGTGTGAAAATGGGTGAGTGGGTCTGATTGGAAGTTGTCAATTGTAGAAGTTGGTGAGCGTACAAGTGGGAGGCTGTAGAAATAGGTGGGCGAGCCGGTGAGTGAGCATGGAAGAAGGTTAGCGTGGAAGGTGGTGGGCGTGGAAGCGAGTGGCAGGGAAGGGATGGGAAAGAAAATTGAATTAGGCGAGGAAAGGGATAAGGTGAGGAAGTGAGTGGGGGGAGAGAGACGAATGAGCGAGGGAAATACATGAAGCGGACAGGCAGGCGGGACAGAAAACAGAGGAACAAGCCGGTGGTACCCGCACGTGACGGAAGGAGACACGTGGGAACAATCAAACCGCTTTGGAGGGCCGGTGAATGAAGGACGGGCCGCGTGTGGTCGGTTGTTTGTGGTGGCTGCGGGAAGGGCGTTTCGGCGGGCGAATCGGTGAAGCGATCGCGTCCTCGGCCGGCGGGCGCGCGGGCGAAGGCTAAGAGCGCGCGCTAATGGGGGTGACGAGGAGATTGGTATGTGGCTGGATCAAACATACCGCAACGTGACCATGAAGGACCTTTCTTGTTACCTCGCTAACTACATCGAATTAAACGAGTTCTCTTAAGATTGTTCTCTGGTTGATCGCGTATTTTTAAAACGATCCGACGTACCTTCTGTGTCACTTCAAACGATACACGCATCTTTTTGTTTTTTGCATGATCACATCTCTCGCGATATTTTCTCAGTAAAGATTATGTACCAAGTGCAGATCACATGATTGTGAAGAGTAAAAGAGGGCATGAGGAGGAATGTCGGGACACAATGGCATGACACTGAAACGATGAAGGTTCAAATGATAATATTGAGAAAATAGCACCGTTGTTTTTTCTGCTCTTCACAAAATGCAAATATTGTATGCAGTAGTGCATAGAAAATAAATGTCCTGTGAATTGTAAGATCAATTCACTCTATAAATATCAATATCATCAGAGACTTCAAATTTAGTTAAGGGGCACACTTGCTTTCAAAAAGAAAATTTGAAAAGTAAAAATCAAGATGATTGACTGTAAAATTTGAGCAAGTAATAGGGATTGTCTTTTTCCAATACGTTTCTGATTCAATATACATAAACACTTTTGTAAATGCAAAGGGTGATTTCTAGCAACAACTGATTAGATCGGAGAGTAAAGTTTTGAAATAGTATATCATTATTTCAATTAACGTAGTATCAAGATTACAAAAAATGTTCTTCTCTGGTAGAATAATGAACAAAGTAGAAAGAATTAAACTCGTTAAATCAATCGACATACCATGTTGGCTCCCAAGATATCTGCATCCATTATGTTCTCGCGAAATAAAACCTTCAGTCTCACGTATTATATCGTTAAGCATGTGTAGCTCATGGAACCATCGCTCACGTCCAAGTGCATACGTTAACCTTTGTGAAATCAAATTCTGCAATTGTACTCACTAGCCGGAACAGTTAAGTCCACGTCTCATGTTCGTGAGAAGGGCATTTGCATATAATACCGACTCAACTCATCTCTTAGACAATAAACCGACGAAACACACCAACGTGGCAACAGCTTTGCATCTCAATTATTCATACCCCACATGAATAACGCATTACGTAACCCTCAGACAGAGATGCGTGAAACATTATTCTTTCTCCACTAGTACGGAGAAAATTAAAAGGAAATCAATAAGAAGTTTGTACGAGATAAAAATTACTTAAGAACGCAAAGACGAATTGAGAGAGGGGGAGAGGTGCAAATGGACTATTGAGTGCTCCCCATATTTAATTGCACTCGCCGGCCGCCTGAGGAATCGGCGAGCTGCCTTTCAAACGCAATTATCTCCCAAGGCACTACGACGTTTGATCGCCGAACCGGATACTGGGCGGGGGGAGGTGAAATAGCAGCATTATGCGTAACAGATACAGTCGGGAAGCTTGAAACAGGTACACCTTGCAGTAGATTTTCTTAGGAAATAGAATATTTTTTTGATCGAAAGTTAACTCAATAGTGAACAAATTAAACACTTGACGTATTGGAATTTCATTAATCAACGCATCAAAATTAGTCTTGTTTCCGCAACGGCTCATTCATTTCTTTTTCAAATTTTATCAAATTAGTTTCTACGACAATATTTCAAAACGCATCAAAGTATTTTGTTACGCCCGTTCTCGGCCTGCTGTTTATATTCGTTCAGGAAAGAGAAAGAATAGCTATTAGCCAAAAAGTAAACAAACAGATAAAATGGTGAAAAGAATCGGTAGACGACGGCTAGGAAAGAAACGATACTTTGGCCAGAAACTCTTCAAAACAATTAGTAAAAACTGAGAACGCAAAATATGAAAGTTGTAAATAGTAAAACGAAAAACATTATTTTCATTTCTGGACTAATAACATATCATTTATATTCCAGAATAACAAAGTAATATTTTCTTAAATTTTCTAATACCTCAAAACAAGTGTAGCTTCACTTTTCGTCTTCCGACATAACGCAGCAAAATCTTGAAAGCCTTTCTTTATATGTATACAAGAACATTAAATGTTGACGAAAAAAAGCTTTATTTCAAGAGACTGGTGACTAACTTAAATGCTCAAGTAGGACCGCCCGTTCAAACAACTGAACCATCATCTCGTGAATACGCTCGAACTCCTCCTTGTTCGCAAACTCGGAGTCAGGTGTATCCTCTTCACTTCGACGGACTATACTCGTGGGTTCGTGGAGCAGGCTCGATTGTGATAATAAGAAACACTTAAGAGCCAGTTATCTGGACTGCGGCAGTAGTGACGCGGCCGCATCATTAGGTGTAGAGGGCGAGGCGGAGCGGAGACGAGAGGAAATGGGACCGACAAGAGCCCGAGGTGGAGACGGGCGAGAGGTGTGGCAATACGAGTGGAAAAATAGGGGCGGAGGCGGAGGTCACACCAGAGAGAAGTAGAGGACAGATGGGTAGTAAGATCAGGAGAGACAGAGAGCAAAGCGGGGAAAGGTGAGGACGAGACGGGGCTGTAGAGCGGGGAAGGGAGGCGAGGTGGAGAGGCAGATGGGGCGAGACGTGGGAGAACCGAGGAAGAAGCGGGGATGAGGCGGGGCCAGGTAACGGGCGGGGCGGAGGAGAAGCTTGGGAGAGGAAGAGACGAGGAGAAGACGTGTGCGAGAGGCAAAAGAGACGCAGGGTCGAGGCGGGGGACAGGCAGGGGCGAGGTAGAGGTGAGGCGGGAAGCGAGGCGAGGAGCGAGGTGGGAAGCGAGGCGAGGAGCGAGGCGAGGAGCGAGGCGGGGAGCAAGGCGGGGAACGAGGTGGGGAATGACGCGGGGAAGCTAACGGGGTGAGGCGTGGACTACGTGTGGGCGAAGCGAAGGGTGACAGGAGCGAGGCGGGGACGAATGAGAAGGGTGGTGGGAGAGACGGCGGGGTTGAGCGGTTGGGCGGGGGTGGGTGGTTGGCAGAGGGCGGCGGGCCGCTGACTCACCTTTGTATGTGACTTGGTTGTTGTGGTTGCGGGAATTGGTGGCCACAATCTCCACGCCGTGCGGGCCGTACCGCACCTGGCGCACCGCCGTGTTCAGCTTGATGTCCAGCCCCTCCGACAGCGCCACTGGCACGCAGGAGTAGCCGTTGCGCACTGCAACACACAGGCAAACGGAACGCGTCATGGGATGCTCGTTTCTCAATGCGAAATCATAAATTACGTTGTCAAAAATTAATGACCGGTTCGTTCACCCCATTCTAAGAAAGAAAAATATAGAAACTTAAAGAAAGTACCATAAAAGATATTAAATGAATTGACATTCCCTTATCATAAAATTATTTTATTCATATTAGACGATTTCTCGACTGCAACTCGAATGTCTACCAGCGCTGGAAAATAGAATAACAAAATTTACACGAATGAAAAAACTTAAATTACAAAATGTATGTTACAAAGTAGTAATCTTCGTAATAAAATAACGCGAAAGAGGAAAGACATATTAAAATGTAGATGTATTCAATTAAAAATATATATATTGATCACAACGCGACCAAAAACTTCTCTGATTTTAATAGAAATCTATTGTTTTTTCGGCAATTCCATGAAGAAAATAATATCCACATCCTATTCCAAAATAAGCGTTAAAATGTCGACTACAGGATTACTCTCCGCACTTGATTTGGAACAGTCCGCGTCGCCGTGCACAGTGATTTATTCTGCCATTGATTAGTATCTTTCTCGACCTGCGAGTAATTCACTTTGATGACGAAAGTATTACTTACATCAACTGTGGTAGCACACTACGGGCGTTTATATTATCATTCTCTTGAAAGTCAGAAGTCCAATAAGGAAATAAGCAGCATGGTTACTAGGTATATAATATATACGAGGACACGTCAGTTCGTAAATTTATATTTTCTTGGTGGACGAGTAAACTTTTACTACACCAAGTTATTTCTGAATCTTTCATTTCTTCAGAATTAGAAAATCGTCCTCAAATAGCGGGGTACCGTTCATACAAAAAAGTTAGAAAGCTTCCCTTGCATCAATACAAAATGCAATCACACTGTGAATTTATGTTCATATTGTTTTGTACAATCTTGTAAAAATATGTCCAGAATTGTAAATGGTAGCTTAATATTGTAAAAAAAACATCATTAAAGATGCACTACACGTTTATATACTGTGTTCATTTTATTTGAAATTATTTGACGTTTAGATAACAAACAATTGTATGCATAGTCTCTGTTCAGCCGTCGCGTCGCCTCGTCGATGGCTGCTTCGCCGACGTAGGGATATTAATGGACTGCATTTCATCAAAATTCTTTCCCACAGAATTAAAATAATGTGAACGGACTCGAGATTTTTCCGTAATTGCAGGACGTGTGGGGGAAAGGTCCCTTTTGCTGTGTGACGACGGGAAGTCGCGAGGTATGCGAGCACAGGAGATCGTAAAGCATAGACCAACAGGTGGTCGTAACACCTGAAGAAACCCTCATCGGTCATGTGTGACACATCTCTTTTACGATCAGCGGAAATTCCAACGCGCGAGGCATCATCTCGGCGTGACTTCGCAGAATTCTTTCATACAAAGCAATGCTTCAACAGGAATCATCTCCGTTCTCATCATCAGGTTTATATGAATACCGTCGCTATCCTTCTCTTTTGCTCGAAATACTCTCTTTGCTCGAAAACGACAATCTCCTCACCGTTCCAGAAGTTCAAAACATTTTCTCATGTACAAACTTTTTTGTGTTACGTGGATTTTCTTAAAAGATATCTGACGAGCTTATCGCTTCTTACATGCAAAAGAGACGGCAATAATGTTGTACAAAGTATTCACATTACCGCATTGTGTTAGATATTTTGTCTTTCTTTCAACAAGGAATTGCACAGGATTCCCCCCCCCCAATATAATTTTTAATTTGGTATCGACAAAAGTTAATAAGAAGTTATCAACAAAATAAATACATTTTAAAAAATGTCGGGTGAACGTTTTCCAAAACTTAACGATAAGCAAATTAAACAAAGGGCCTGAGCATTTATAAAAGCGCAATAATATTCAGAGACTAATCGGAACATTAGTTTTCTCCAACTCAGATTTCATCCTTTTAATGAAAAGAAAGCTGCTGCCCTACCGATTTGTACTTCTTCGTAGTAGTATTGTGGAAACATGTTCAATAATGAAAGTAAAACCTCATCGTTACCTGTTCTCCAAAACACGAAGAAAAAAGTAAACAACTCTATGAAAGAGCTCGTTTTTATAAAAATCACTATGAATGCAGACATTACCCTCCACCCACTGGAAAGTGATCATCACAAGCGTTCAACTGTGTAAATTTTAACGTCGCCATTAATCCAGTCAGCGGAAATGTATCAATTAATCACTAGTTACGGTGGTTGCTTAAGCCGCTTGAAAACATTTCGTTCACAGTTACTAGCACGTGTCACACTACACGTGTCATTACAACAACGAACAGATTTATACGCCGGGCAGAGCAGTAAACGTGTCCGTACGAATACTTCCCGAGATCTTCAAGCGCATAAAGTCCTCATTTCGTAGAGTAACTATCCATTGTTAGGTGGGCGTGGCTCCCTTTGGAGTGTGACCCACCGACACTGAGCGTAGCGCCCTTTGGGTCAGTCGTCGCGTCCACCGTCGCCATCACCGCCCTCCGAACAATTTGCCGGTGGGCGACGAAGGGCCGGGCCTCCGTCTCGACTGGAAAATGATATGCGCGTCTGTTAGCTAATAAACCTGAATTAGTACGTTCAACGGAAAGCCATTCGTCCATAAAGAAGAATGTAGGAAACATAACGCCGGGACGACCCTATAAATCAACGCATTGTTTTGTCACTAAACACGTCATAATTACGACGAACCGCCTGCCCGCCCAGCCGCCCCGCCCCCTCGGGAAGGGCCGTTCTGGTGGTTTTATTTCCAAATACCTGCCACATCACTATAGCGCGATTTATTGCGTTGTAAAGGGAAGGAACGAGAACGGAGCTGTATTTATCAAGCGTGGAGACGGGTCGGTGGGGGAGCGATCCAGGTGGGATGAAAGGGGCGTGGATGGGGGGGGGGCGAATGTGGCGAGGAAAGGGTTTGATGACGGGGCTTCCGGAGGGGATGAAGTGTCTGTGTAATCGGAGAGCGCGGGGGCCGGTAGCCACTCGCAACAGAGCCGACGCCAAAGGAGCGTGCCGCAGGCAACGGTAGCGGCGGCTGCGGCGACGCCGAGAAAGAATGACGCCGGTGGAGGCCGAGAAAATAATTGTTGCGGCTGAAATGCTTGCGAACACCTGGTTCAAGTAATGCAGACATTCGCACGACATCGCGTGCCAAACGAAAGACCTTTCCTTCCCATTGGTGTTCCGTCAATGCTGTGATTATTATTTTTTCAAACAAAATCCTCCTTACAGGAATAAGTTCAATCACTTTTATACGAGAAGAAACCAGAATGAAAGACTTTATAAGAAAATATATCCAGTGATAAGTCAAGAAAGGCTGAAAATATTATTCATTTGCAAGTTCTGCAAATGAGAAGAACGCCTTCCTGGCATCAGTATTTGTATTTAATGACAAAACCTATGTCACGTTTATGTCAAATTAAGGTCGATGTGTCTTCATAATATCCATAGCTAAAAACACTATTATAATTCGAATTCTAACAAAAACGTGTGGTCAACATCATCTTGAACGAAACTCACATCATGAAGAATTACATCTATTTTCAGCTACCTAAAAAATTAAAACCGATATACAAAATCGTAGGATAGCGTCTCAGTCCCCTGGCCTTTCGTATTTTTTGTTAACCTTTGTTTGAAGTATTTTTTTAACAAACTGCGAATAACCTGACTTGCCAGTTTTTAAGATATTAGACAAAAATAACATTACAGACAAACTTATTAGAAAGAATAGCCATATGTTATAGATCTTAATCTTACACAAATTTGCTGTATTTTTTTCTACTTTTCAAAATTAATATTGATCTCGAAATTATTTACTTAATAATTAATATATGTTTCCTTCTACTTTGAAAAGCTTGTATCAATCTTAAAAACGTGAATAGTGTGTTAGTATCAAGAACACCCTTAAGACGAGTACACTAGCCTATCAAACGAAAAAACGATCCTTAAATTATAAATCACTAGTATTTTGTCGAACAAATACATGTGAGCACAAAATTTATGCGCAGTTAGTTGAGCTCGTGCTGAGCTTGAATAGGAAATACAACAAATAAATAGACTCACATTCCCACTGAACCCATCATTGTAACGTCATTGGCAGCGAAGTTATCGTGTATTTAAATTATCCTTTGATTACAATGCATCAAAAAGATCGTATCAACATAAATGCGCTGTGTTAACAGAAGCAGTAAGTACCCAAGTGGTTTGATCACCTCAGATATGGGTACAAAAAACCACACTGCGTCTTTGAAAAAGAAAGCGAAGAGTTCAGAATGAGTGGGGTTAAAGGGTTCTTCAATCCCTCGTAAGGCGATGAAGATACGTCGAGGAGATAGGGTGGAATTGCCGCTGTAGGAACAAAAGTGAGCCAAAATCCGAAAGGAAAAAACTCGCGGCGGGGCCAGGTGCCTGCAAGCGAACAGGGGACATTAGCCAGCCGTTAGGCGATGCACAAAGGAGGGCGGAGGAGGCAGAGGAGGATAAGCAGCCCACAAGCCGCAAGAACAATGGCATTTCAGCATTCTGTGGCTTAGACTGTGTTACCGGAGACGTTCTTCACAGATGATTGTCTTCTCCCTACATGCCATAATACGTGTTGAGCTCGGTTTAGAATTTGGATTTCAATGTGCCGGCAAGCAAGTTATAGAGTTGAAGATAAATATTCTAAACGAAGATCGCATTATCATGAACAGTATTTGGAGATGATACTATTAGCTGCTCTTTCAATATATTCAGACACGACAATGATTTTCATGGAATAATATATAAAATTTCACAGCAAATTTCTACCTCTTAATTGTGTTTCACGGACATATGTCAGCCGCTAATAACAGAGTACATTCTAACTTAACTGTAATTAAGTTTTAACCTCAAAAGATGCAAATCCAAACAGCCCAACCCACAAAGCAATCGATCATATCTAACAATTCCCAGAAATTTAATAACGTCTAACCGGGAGCTTAAGGGGATTCCCGGAACTCGATCTAGGTCGCATAAATCCCGGGTAAAAGGGGCTGCTAAACGGATCTCAACGAGCGGCAGCCGGGACGCGCAGCGGGAAGTCCCGGCCGCTTGTACTCGGCAAACTTTAATTTAATTCCCACCGCAAACGCTCCGAAACCGCTCCGTGGGTTTCGCTCGGTTTGACCGCCAGGGAAACCGCAAGGTGTGGAGGGGATGGAGTGAGTGCGGTGGAAGGAGCGGTTAATAAATCGCGGCAACGGCGCGTGTCGGGTGTCGCTGACTCAGCGGGAGGCGCGAGAGCGGGTGAGCGCGAGCGGGGTTCGTCGCTTACTCGGGCGTCGCAGTCTCCGTCGTCCGTGCCGCTGGCGGCGTGACTCAGGTGTCGCGGTGGCTCAGCCATCCGCCTGCCAAAGGCGCCGCCCGGCAGCAGGAAACACATTTTTCCTGGGAGCGGCAGTGTGATCGATTGCGGGAAATTAGCACGGGGTAATAGGTCGACGCGGTGCTTTTGATGGGCCACAAACGATTTCGCGACTCGTGAACAGCCGGGAATGAGGGTAACGTTTGACAAGATCCGGTAGAGAATTTCTGACAATAATATAGCTGTTCGCAGTGCTATTGAGTTAAATACAAATGAGAAGCAAAATAAAAAGTATCAAAGAAGGAATATGCTTGTTCAGATTAGACAGACATTAGACGAGAACCTACAAATCAGTTGGTAACGTCACGATTATTACAAAACGTTCTATTAACATTCCTACCGTCGCTCAGGCACACTATCTATTTTGACAAATGAAACAGGAAGGAAAAACGCATTCTCAAGGCAGACCCATGTATAATGAACAGTGTTTCCAAGAAAAATAATATTCCCTACGCCAAACTCATTTCTTACAAAATTTGGTCAGTAGGCCAAACCAGAAGATTGAAGACATGTCAAAGTAATGAAGTCCATGCATTTGTTTTGTTTTCGCAATGTATTTCCATTTCTTCACATTAATCTAATTTTCGTAATGAACCACTCTTCCAAGAAGAAATTATTTCCTCGTTTTTAGTTTCTTTGTTCTTGTTAAATAAATTATAGAGAGGAAACAGGAAAGTAATATAGTAGTTTATACAAATATTTAAAGTATAATTGAAAATTTAAAAAAAATTAAACGAATGATCAATGAAAGTACTCTCAAACTGCAAGTATGACACGCTTCATTTAATTAAACATTTGTTTACCGAAAAATTCGAAACTAGTTACTTTTCTGTACAAACGTATCATTTAACATCATATTATTTAAAGTTTTCTTCTTTCCTTCTGAAAATTCTAAGAAAATTTACACGAGGATGTAATACAAGGCGTTCATTACAAGAGTCGCGTCTCAAGTAGTGCGACTTCCGATGTGATGAGAAGCTGCGGAAAACAAAGCACCTCTTCCTTCAGAGCGTACGGCTGTCGGCGGCGGCGGCGGAGCGCGCGTCGAATAACAAATAGTTCAGGCAGGTGCGCACAGATGGAGCGGCGGTGGGCCGGCCCGAAGAGTCTCCTACGCGGGGAGTCTCGCCGCCGTGCCGCGCCTCGCTTCGCCGCCCGCCTTTCAGCATCAGCTTACCCCGGTCGGAGCGCAAATTAAGAACAGCTTCCCAGGCAATGCTCCGTACGAATTCGCTCGCAAAGAATGTGAAATGACGTGATTTAATGTTTTGTATTTAATGAAAAGTGTATTATATTAATATTTGAAAAAATATTAAATAGGAGTCTGCAAAAGATACATTTGGAGGTGTGTGGAATGGCTATCAGTAATGAAGAGAGACAATTTAAAAGTGTTAGTAAGAGACCATAATAACCACATCTTCCATTTTTTCGTGTTAAACATATACCGACAGTCCCTTCTTATTCAATATTCTCGCGAGAAAGATCAACATCTGACTGGTGTTCACATCTCCAAATTGATTCCAGTGTGTTGCATTAAAAGAGTAGTAAATAACAAATGCATTAGTCTGAATCCCTCACTGGCCCCCTCCAATACATAACCAATTTTTTTATTAATTGAGTAATGCCTTTTCTTTGAAAACAATTAATTCATATCTGAACTCATATTCGTTTAGTGCTTGTGGCATTCACACATAAAAAACGTAGAAAAATGTATATTTACTCAAGCTTTTAATGACTCGAATCGATCACAACGCATTTTTTTATTCTCTCAAAATTAAAATGTAAAGCATCCAAACATTTTCTATTAAGATAGAGTGTTGCCTTACATTGTTTTTTATACGAGTAAAATGAGCAGGATATGGCAATATGTACATAAAATGGAAGATTCTCCACGAATTGTTTCGGGCACATAACCATGTGTATTAAAGTATTAAAATATATTTTCAAGTTTCCATGCGGACCACTATTTTAGATTATTATTTCACAGCCACATTAGAATAGATTATCATTACGGAAAATAACTTCTCTGATGCCTTCAACAGTAGTAATAAACACACAGGTGCACCACCGCCCTTCGAACAAGCAATAAAATAATTCATTCGGTTTTCCAAAATCACCCGTTACGACAAAGAACACGCCAGAAATGAAGTCCGTGCACTGAACACAACACAATAACAGAGAAATATTGTGTTAGAATACTTTCAGAAATTGTATAACCGCACATTATCTTCATAACGCGTACGTTGCAATTTTGGATTTTCAATAATAATAAAAATGGCGAGCGGAAGTCAAGTAATTTAACATTATGCAGAAGATAGTGCGATATTTCAAATTACGCCAGACGGCGAAAAGTAGAGGAAGGGGCGGCTCTTGCGCCATTTGCAAATACAGCTTTCAGAAACCACATGACAGCCGTCCATTATACCAGACGTCTAAAATGAAAAACAAAAAATACTCCGCGTCAAAAGTCATGAGAACGGCAGAGCATTCAACATCGGCTTTGTTCTGGAGCAAAGTGAAGGCACACTTCCACCGCAGGAAGTGCGTTCTGCGCCGATGATTTGTGGCTTTATTAAGAGCGCTTATCGTTTCTACGGGACCGAATAGGAGGCACCGACTGCCTTCACCTGGCCCTAAAGCAACTTGGCTCGCCCTGTTTGGCAGAGACCTTCGTCTTCATTTGGGAGCAGGGCTGTCGTTGGATAAATAAGAGGATTAGGTTCAATCGTGTTTGTAGGGTATAAGGAAGGTGAAAATAGAACTGGTGCTGGAGGCGGCGATGGCACCAGCAGGCGGTTCTGACGGTGGCGGTTGTGGGGGGAGATAGTGATGGTGGTGCTGGTGGTAGTGTGGTGGGATAAATGGGTGGTGGTGTCTGTGGTGACGGAGCTAATGAAGCTCACTTCCACAAATCGCTTGCCGAAGTGGATGAGTTGATGCCGCATTGCACCTGCTGCGGTTGTCTTCTGATCTTTCCGTACTGTCATTTGAAGTATCTAAATGCTTTTGGTGCAAGACCAAAGTCATTTTCCCCGGCGGTAAATGTCACGGTCGGTCATTGCATATAACAACGATATTACGCCTCCAAAGAATGATAAATATTGTAGATATAGTTAGTAAGATTGTTTATGGAAGAAAAATAAAATTCGCATATGTCATGACTTCTTCCTGTCTTTGCAATGACATCCAAATCAACAGCTTCTATTATGTTCAGTTTTTTATTACAGATTATGCCATACACACAAACACGAAAGAATGATTGATTAAAAAAATAGAGGTTTAATTTTTTGTCATAACGTATTATGAATCAATGAAATAGATGAGGAAACATGATTGTCAACATTTATTCTATAACTTTTTATTATTCAGAATTATCTCTAAATCGAATACAAATTTAATTTCGAAAAAAAAGTGTTTACTTTGAAACTGTTGGGACATCCAATTATAAGATTAGAAAACTCGAAAGGGTCTTGTCACATCATTCTGCAACAAGGAAATTAATGATGGAACTCCAACAAAATATACGATTATCAAATCTAATATCTAATCCGCCGAGAATCTAAACTGCGCCATCAGGCATCATGCCCGGTGCACAAACACAAACGATTTCTCCAGACCGACTCATTAGCAAAGATCGTTTGTACCGGGCGAAGACGTGCGGGGGTCCCTGCGTGTCCCACGAATGTGCAGTCGCCATCGCAACATTATTCACTGTCACCCCTCACATGCTTATTGAACAAAGCCAACGACGCCGTCAAGTACCTGGCAGATGTGCGGCGCTCTTAACAAGCCCACATCTCCTCGCTCGCTCGGGGGGCTTCGGACAAATTGGCCGACGGCTCGGACTCGGAGAGCTGCGGGGACATCTGTCTTCCAGGCGGAAAGCTTTTGTCTCCCGGGGGCGGAGGCGGAGGCGGAGGCGACGCAGCGTCCGCGTAGGAAGAAGATACGCGCACCGGGTGCGTAACGAACATCGCGCAGCTCTGAGAGCCTTTTTCGTATTTCAGCGCCGTATACGACAGCCGATCGTATTCCGATCGGGCGGGCGATTCCTCGTAAAGCAACTTCCATTTCCAGCCGCTGTCTCCTGCGATGAAGTACGCGCGGATACGACCGAGCAGCCTCCTCCACCGCCCCGTCCGTTCTCGGACACGTTTTCCATGTTGAGGATAGTCTAGCACGAAAGGGAACGGAAGGGGGGAAAAAAGAAGAGAGAAATAGCTGAACTTGTAAAATGGCGCAGTTCATTTTTCTCTGTTACACTTGTAAAACGTGTCTCCGTGTTTCTTCGAAACTTGACACATTTCAAAGCGCGCAGACATAATTCAGAATACTAACCGTGCATGTAAGCAGGAGTGACGTTAATCTAAAGACACTGATACAGCACTGTCTTTGTGGAAGTATGATTGAACTCTTCTGCCTTTGAATCACTGAAAGAATGAGATTTCATTCTTGTTGCCAGTTCTAGACGATTAAAATAGTAAACATGTTTTGAAAGTACGGACGAAAATTGATGACAATTCATGCAAACAAATGTAATATTAGTTGCTGCGTCATTCCCTGCTCCGTTAATAGCTATTTGGTTTCCAAACCGTTTAAAAAAAGTATATCAAATAAAGAAATGAATGCAAATTGTGAGTTGTATGAATTTAGATGCGCGAGGAGAGACAATGAGTATTTTTTAAGTCATATAATAAAATTAATTATCCCAAATCAGATACATTGACAGACAAAAACCACCACGAGCATATTGTGGGCCAAGAAAGGAATAATTATATCGCCACAATGAATGATCTTATAATATGCAGAGATCATGCCATACACAATCAGCAGATTCTCCAGACAGGCCCTATTCTGAATATGTATATTTAAATTCCCGGTACACAATTTAGCCTGCAATCTTGCACCTACGGTCCAAATAGCAACAAGGCTTGCAAACATCGAAAACGTTGGCAGCTCATTTGTCTGACAACCCAAGCACATACACATACCCTCGCCCAAAATTATTTCCAACCTAA